ATACTTATTAGAGATTAAACTATTAATTAAGATTACACTATTTATTGACTAATTTAGTATATTTTCAGTATTTATTATATTTTTGTAATTATTGTATTTTTATTATAAACTTATTTTCAATGATTGTGTATGTTTGCTATAAATTTTCAATAATTATTAGAAATTAAACTATTATTATTTATTAGAAATTAGACTATAAATTTAGTTGAAATTAGGAGTGTTTAATGATTGATTCAGTTCAGTTGCAGGTTGTTTCGCCAACCAAATCGATCTAGTCAAGTCCTCAATTTGTCACTCGAAACTGATTGACCATTAGTGAAAACCCACGAACTCGGGTTGTATCGATTTGGGTCTATTGTTTAACTTTCGCTTAACAAAGCACAGGTCCCCATCACCATGCCTCTCCTTGCTCCATTATCTCCACCTTGCTTTCTCTTTGACTTTCTCTCCTCTCCCCTTCCCACCACTCCCATTAAGCCATGTCACCAACTACCTAAAAATATTCCTATAATCTATCTCCTAAGGTATTTCATTTAAACCAATAGGAAAGTATCATGTTGCCCCACTTCCTAATCAATTCTTAAAGTGTTATTTCCAAAAGTTAATAAATATGGTTAGTAAATTACCAAAAATTAATAAATATTGTTATTAACTAACTCATTAACAACATTTTATAGAAATTGAAAACTCTTTAACTAATTTCTATAAAATTGAGAATTATATTTAACAATTATCAAAAAGTATAAAATTTTAATTATTGTTATTATTATAATTAATAACCAAATACAATTGGGGGAACAAAATATTATAATGTTAGAAAATGAAATTATTAATTAATTTATATTGAAAGATAAAAGATAAATTAGTGTAATTTTGTTAGTAAACTACCAAATAAAAAATATATTTAATAACAATTTAAAATTTTTTTCAATAAATCCCCATAGTTACACAAATGTAATAAATTTTTCAAAAAGTTTCATAAAACTGCATTTTCATAAGATAACATTTTTGAAATTAAAAGATATAAAGTATTTGAAAGTTTATTTAAAATGCATTAAATAATTATTGAAAATTATTAAAATATTTTGGAAATTTTAAGAAAATTTATTACATTTGATAGATTTTGGAAAATCATTGAAAAATTATGTAATTTTCATTGCAAACTATTGAAAATTATTAAAGATAAATGACTATGGGAAATGGAAAGTTATTATTTGAACAAATAATTACACAAATTATTAAGATAAATTAGTATAATATTGGAAAAGGAAATTATTGGTTTGTTTATATAAGAAATTATAAGATAAATTAGTATAATTCTGTAACTAAACCACTTAAAAAGAAAATAAATTATTTAATAAAAAATTATATAAATTTTCCAAAATTTTTAAAATTACACAAGTACAATAAATTTTCCAAAATTTTTAAAATTACACAAGTACAATAAATTTTCCAAAATTTTTAGAAAATTACATTTTTGAATATTAAAAACAATTTAGTGTACTTTTAGAAATTTACCATGTTGTTGATACTCAATATATCCTTTTGATCATTTCTATCATAAAATTGAATATTGGGTTGACGGGGACTGTGTTTTCAAAACCGGATCAAACCAGATGGTTAGACTGGAAAAATTGGGAACCGGATACCGTTTCACCTTAAAACTATTTTTTGTCCAAAAATTGTTTATTTAGTTAGTGAACCGCTGACCTGGGTGGTTGAACCGTCAACCCAGACAACAGTTCTTGGCCTTTTTTTGTTTTTCTAATTTTTTTGTCAGAGCAGGTCATCCGTTCGGATTCAACAATCAGATTGTTTGACCCAAGAACGGTTCCCTATTCAATCCAATTTTAAAAACCTTGGACAGGGAGTGGGTGACTTGCCTTGAGCTCAGCTTGGTGTGTGGCATGGCTTGGCCCAAGGCCGAACCCATGGACCAGTTTGACCCACAGCACGGCACGGGCCCGTGCGGGCTCAAGCCATGGGCCATGCCGACCCCAAATTATCCTAGAGGAGGGAGGCATGGTCCAGGATGCCTCGTGGCCCAGCACAACACGACACACTTTGTGTGGGCCACATGCAGGTTGTGTCGTGCCGACCCAGTATGACCCAATTTATACCTCTAGTTGAACCCGCCCAATACTAGAGACGGGACAGGGAAATTCGAGGATTCTCCATCCTTGATGAGGAGTGAGGTGCCTTGCCCCTGAACTTGTCCGACATTGAGGAGTGGTTACCTTGCCCTGAATCTGCGTGACATTGGGGACGGGGTGGGGATGGGGTAGAGTGTCTTGACTATGGGGCAGGGAAAGGGATAGGGTGCCCTACCTTGAACCTGCGTGACATTGGGGACGGGGCAGGGATGGGGTAGAATGTCTTGACTATGGGTCAGGGAAAGGGATAGGGTACCCTGCCCTGAACCCACCCCGTTGTCATTCCTATATAATTGTTAATTATTAGTGGAATTAATAAAAATGTTAGATTTTAAAATTAATCAAAATTTCATTTAAAAATAATAAAAAGAATAAAAATTATTAAAATTACAACAAATTATTAAATCTTTCAGATTTTTCCGTGCATCGCACGGGTCCCTGCTAGTTTGAACATGAAGCCAAGGCAAAGTATGACATTAGGGGTGTGACGTGTTAGCAAGCCTAACCTATTCATGAGCTATTTGAACTATCTTGAAGTAGTCGTATTCAAGTCGAGATTGGTTCAAATCGGATTTGAGCTTCGCAATACCCATAATTCATGGAGCGGAGATTTCCTAATAGAGATATGAGTGCAATTCACGGCAGGTATAGAAATCCCATTTGTAACTCATGAGTCTAAAGCTTATAATAAAAGTGTAATTTTTAATATATTTGTATTTATAATACATGTTAAATTTTTAACATTAACTTAATTATAATATAAATAAATAAATTCATAATTGAGTTCCATATATTCAAGTTTCCTAATGTATTTTATTATATAGTACAATTAGTTTATTTATTATTTTTAAGACTAATTTATTTATAACCGGCTTGAGTCAAATTTGAGCTTGAAACCTGAAACTCGATCGAGCTCAATTCAAGTTTTGAGCTCTAAGATTTTGAGTCAAGCCCAAACTCGAACAGCCTGATACTCGGCTCGACTTGGCACGACTGCACCTCTAATCTACATTACATAATGAATATAAAAATAAAAGTAAATGTATATGTACAATATTATCACTTATCAGGTATTGAGTGAGTACCCGAGGCAGGGTATAAAACGTTAAAACCAAAGGTTGTATCCAACAGTACCCCATATTTGTGAAAACTTTGATCCATTTATTTTTCTTTGAAAAAAAGTAATGGTTCATGATCAGTGAATTTACAAATTCGATAAAGAGCGCTTCCAACTTGGTTTTGTTCAACACAATTAATTTTGAGGTCGAAGTAAGAAAAGAGAAAAGTCTACTTGACTCATCCAGCTTTCAAATTTGCCTTTTCTTTTTGTATTTTCTTATTATTAAGTATGTCAAGTTTAGGGTTTTAGTCAAATACGCGCATGGTGCATGCTTCCTTCCATAACTTGGAGATTTTTTATTCCACCACTTCATGGACCAGAAGAGATGAGATTATTTCGACTAAAAATCAACTAATCAACTTGGAGATTACTGCAATTTAATCTTGCAGTTTAGTGATTTGGCAGAGCAATCAGGTGAGCAACAGACTTGGTGGTGTTTGGCAGACCAATCAGGTGGGCAAATACAGGCGCTATGTGGTAAACCAGTGCCTCTCACATGCACCCTGCGCTCTGTCGCCACCACTGATTCGGATTAATTAGCTGAATGTTTTAGTTGTTCAGCGGATTAATTAGCTCCACCGTAAAAGATGGGGAATGATAAGGTTCTACGTCAATAATAAATTCATGAATTTCCACCGTAAAAAAATGCAGGTCTTATATATTTGAATGCTGACATGAAATTTTATCATTGATTCCACAGCCTGTTGAACAGTTAAAGCCTTGAGCTAAACCTTGCCCAGTGGTCTACTATGTAATACCAAGAAAAAAAGAAAAAAAAAATCTTAAACTGTGTTTTCTTTAACAGAAAATTAGAGTGAAGTAGAAATTTGAGAGAAAGTTTTCAAAGAATATAACAAATATAACCTTAAGAATAAGAAATAGAAATGCACTCAATAGAATGATTATGAAGCAACATACCTGAAATATAGGATGTGTTTGGCATAGTGGTGTTTTTGTTGCGTGTTGATTTGATCAATGCAAATTTGCCAAAGAGATCTTTTCTACTAGAAATATTTTGAGTTGATGAATACAAATAGCTATTTATACCTAAAATCCATATTTCTCACAAATTTGTTTGATCAACCCAAAACGCAATGGCAACACATTGCCACTCATGGTTTTTAAAACAGGACTGGACCGGAAAAACCAGGAACCGGTTAGGTGACTGGTTCCGTTTTACCCCAGAATTGTTATTTCCTCAAAACCGTTGATTTGGTCAGCAAACTGTTGACCTGGGCGGTTGAACTGTTCGAACCGTTTAATGGTTTGGCCAGTTTTTTTTTTTTTAATTTTTAATTTTTTTTTGTCAGAATGGGCCGTCCATTCAGTTCGAATGGTTGGACTGTTAGGCCCAGGAACCAGACCCCTGACCGATTCGTTGTTCGTGTCGGTTTTAAAAATCTTGTTGCCACTGTACCAAACACCCCAGTCTTTCTAGTTCCAAGGATATATGCATATTTTAGTTAGGCCACTAGGACTAAGCAAAATGGAAGTATAATTAAGTTCTCTTCTAACCAATCCCCGCTCCCTCCGTTGTGTTGCTGCTTTGAAAACTGCTTCTAATGAAAACAGAAAAAGCAATTTAAGAGAGGAATTGAATAAGGTGGCCCCAATATTTTTTGAAGGCATAGACAGTTGGCAGTCCCCCTCTTCCAAAACAAGGAATCCTCAGAAAATAGACCAAATCAGTACAAAAGATGATGGATTGACAAGGTTAGTTCTTCTTCTACAGAACTTGTAAACAAACTATATTAGTCAATTGTAATCCATACCAATCGCCATGTGTGTATGTTGCCAATTGTTTGATTGTTTACTTTTCTTCTCCCCTCTTTATTGACAAACTGTCATCAAACAAATCAATTTGCCTACAATGTAAATGTCTTGTATGTATCATAAACTGTTAGGTGTGAGTGGTAAGATGCTTATATCACTATGAAAGGAAGAAATTTCCTGTTCAGGCTGCAAACGAGGAGGAGAAAACAGGCAGGGTTTAGGAGGCAGTTCAATGGCTTCCATTCTGCCTGAAAGCATCTCTATAACTCTAGTCATGGAGGGACGATCCCTGGGATTGATCTGTATGCACCATAAACCAACCATAACCATCTTCCTTACAATGTATACTTCCTCTTCTACCACCATATCGATGAGATTCATGTCTTCCTCTTGAACAAGCTTATTATAAATCCAGCCAGGAAAATATGCTTCGCTAGAGGTTTTTATATCTGGGTGAACATTCTTCCTTCCACCAACCATCTCCAGCAGCAACATCCCATAGCTATAAACATCAGACTTGCGAGAAGCTCCACCAAGATTTTTAAGGAAAAGCTCAGGGGCAATATAACCCACAGTCCCTCTAGCCATTGTTAGAGGCACAACACTGTCACTTCGTGAGTATGTTTTTGCTAAGCCAAAGTCAGAAATCTTTGGCTGAAAGTTATGATCTAACAAGATGTTATGGGGTTTTATGTCAAGATGCAGGATTCTGAATTCACAGCCATTGTGCAAATACTCAATACCATGTGCAATGCCCATAGCGATTTGAAGCAGCTTTGCCCATCCTAAGGATCGACTCACCTCTTCCTTGCATATCAAGTCCCCGAGAGACCCATTGGGCATGAACTCATAGACAAGTGCCCTCCTCGTGCCCTCCCAATCCCAACAAAAGCCCAGGAGATTTATGACATTTACATGGTGAATAGTACCAATTGTTGCTACTTCATTAATAAAGTCTTGGCCATTGTCTCTGTATTTCTCCAACATCTTGACAGCAACCAATTGACCATTTGATAGCTTTCCCTTGAAGACACTGCCATAGCCTCCTTCACCTAATTTTTCTCTGAATCCATTGGTGATCTTCTTAATATCAGCATAAGAATATTTTGTAGTTAGGGTTGATTGGTAATTCTTGATAAACTGCTCGACATTCTGTCCACGCCCAAAGCTTCTTTTCCCTCTAAAATGGGATATCTTGAAGTTAACTAAGCCCTCCCTTTTGTACTTGAAAGTGATTACTATCATCATTGCCAGAACTAGCAGAAGGAAAACACTTCCAACAGTCACACCTACAGAGAATTAATCAATTAAAATCTTGTTGAGAAGTTGCATGCATAACAAAAAAAAATTGTATTTTCAGTTAATATATAATATGTAGTAGTTGAGCATTTCAAGCATGGTCATCCTAAAATCCATGGAATTTTCTGTGACTCTGGGATCTGATAGTGGAGTCATTTAGATTTCGTTTGGGTTGGGGATAGAAATGGAAGTGTGGGATGGAATTTCTAGAATGAATAGCCCTCCTAGTCATTCAAAAATCCATGGAAACACAAAATGTATCAGATCCGAACTCTTTCTCTGTATTTAACTCCAATCCAAAAACAGCCCTTGAAAAGAGATCAAACCACGAATTTTCTACATGGCGTTAGCATGGTTGGTGTCCAAATGGAGTCTTGTATCTAGTTATCCATCCTCAATCAATTGGGAGTTTTAACCCCAAAAGCAATTGATATGGGTTAAGCAATCAGATAGTTCAGTTCAGACACTCAACTTATACAAAAAGGGAAAAAAAGATAAGTTCTCAAAAAGGGGAAAAGGAATATGAAACATATAAAAGATCAAATAAAACACATGGGCAACTAAAGACATGCTTCCAAGTATTTTGTAGAAGTTTTAATGTATAATATTTCATATAAGTTAATTATATAGAGGAGCAGGCATTTGAGTCAAGACAGTTTTGGGCTGAGGTGGTCATCCTGCTTGGTCCAATCCTCACAACACTAATGTAAATACATGCATACATACACAAATATAAGTATAATTTTCAAGGTAACAATCAAATAGTAGAAAACAAGGGGAAAATATTTTACAGGAACCAAACCTTTGTTACAAACCAAAATGGATCCATAATTACATTTTTAATTAAACTTGTATGTTGTCTTTGTAAGAGCTTTGATTTACTTACCTAAAATGAGAATCCATCTTCTTGGGTTGTGCCGCTTGTGCCTGCAAGGTGATTGGGAAATGAGATTCTGTATTAGTCCTACTAAATAGTAGAGATAAAAAGGTATTTAAATAGGACAAGAGAAATTCGAACCTACTTGTAGGATGGGATAAGGGCTATAATCTTATTTCCACTACCCAAGTCATATGTGGCATCCACTTTTACCAAAGAAAGTTGTTGAAACCAGTTGCTATTGACTGCATTAATTGAGGGAAAAATTTTTCTTAATAAGGGAATTTGGTGAAATACATCCAAGCTCTCTGACACTTTGAAGGTTGCAAAAATACCTCGTATTATAACATTTTATAATAAGAAAGGAGCTGATGTGGACCACCCTTTTCTCTAAAGGAGGCTTGTTAATTACAAGTTGAAACTTGCCCAATGAATGAAGGTTGAGAGGAGTTAATATTTTGGGGGCGTTCCTTTTTTAAGATTTTGAGAATGAGAAAACTTGCCCATTAATCAAGAAATCCATGTTTTTTTTAAGATTTGTGGAGGGAGCAGGGAAAGTTTATTTTTCTGGGTGTCATTTATCTAAGTAAGTGACACCTATCTCCTACATGGGTAAATAAGTTTCTCACTTGGGGGAAAAGTTGTCAATACTTGAATGGATAAAAATGTCCCTTTAATATTGGATTTTTATGGTTAAAATGGTTATTGCCTTATTTACATGGGAAATAAAAGGACATGTGCAAATGCACTTACCCGAGTAAGTCTTTCCTGGGAAATACTTACCCAAATAAGTTCATTTACTTGGGTAAATAACTTACTAAAAAACGAATAGAGCCTTTGACTCATATGTGTATGAATGTTTCTCATATCCCACTAATCAAATGATCCCACGCAAAAGGTGGTGCATGCCAAATTGAGAAGAAGGTTTAACGAGTTCACATTGGTGCCCCATATATATGCACATCTCAGCATGCATTGGGAATATCTCCTGTACTTGTCATTGGGAGATGTTCACACAGGTAGGATGTTGTGGAGTGCTCATGGGTGCGCTCTATGGGGCATGCATGCGATTCAAGTTTAATTGTAACAAGAAATTGAATTTATCTATCAAAATAACAACAACAACAGCGTGTGTGTGTATGCAAACATGTATTTTATCAATAAATAATGCATAATTATGTTTTATATGTAATATATGAAATATTTTATTTTTAATTTATGTTTTTTAATTCAATTTTAAATTTTTTACATGTAAAAATATTAAAAATTATAATTTGAAGTCAAAAAAAGTTTTTTTTTTGGAAAAAAAGGGACAAGGCACCTTGGGATGCATAGATCTCAAAAAGTTGCCCAAAATAATAATAAAAAAAAAACTGAAGCTTGCATACATAGCTAACATGCGACCCATGACCCAGTCAATGGTCCAACGGTTTAGGTCAAACTGTTTTTTTTTACCTTATTCAGGTTTTACTCAATCGGACCTAGAATCTTGACTGAATGACGATTCAAATAATTCAGCCAACCAAGCTAATGGCGGGTTGAAAACGCTGACAATAACTACAACAATTATAAGAATAATAAATGAAACAAATTAAGTGGACCATCCTTTTATGTGGAATCATTTCATTAGTCAATATGAGGAAACACTCATAGAAGTATATGAGCCAATATCAACCTCATGTGGGGTGTGGTCGTTTTGGACCCTAAACTAATTAAATACCACATAGAAGATGATTCAACATGGTGCTTGTGTATGGTCCAGTGGATTAGAATAAACTAATAGCATACCAGACTCTACAAAACATTACTTATATGCAATGCCGTTGCATTTGTATCAGTATTAGTTCTACCAACTTGTAGCCTTAACATTCCTCTTAGGACAATGATTTTGAGACAGGGACAGGTTTCTTACAACTTGTACAGATACGGTATAAGTTAAACCCGACCCTCACTGATTCATATACTGAATGTCTGAATACCCATGGTGTTTATAATATTAGGTTGTAGTTGTGAGACATGAATTTATGTATTATGTATCAATTTAATAATATTTTGAATGTTATGTGGAAGATAATTGATGGTTTTACGTGCTTTAATCAAATAATTAGATATTTTGATGTTTATTTTATTGTTATATATATAATAGAAAAATTAGACATGGGTTCTGGACCCATCTGTCAATCCCACCTATGTTCATCCTTAAATATAAAGAGGGTTTTGCATTTTTATGTGTGGAAAAGGTTTGAATTCTAAAAATCCATCTCTCTAATCCGCCCCATTGTCCATCTTTAATATCCATTCATCAATTAAGAAGAGACTATTGATACTGAATGCACCACTTTGTATACCAATGCAACAAGCGAAGCCTCTAAATCTGCAACATGGCAGACCGGACTGGGCTGATAGGTTCCAGAGCCTGACCTGCTTTGGTATAAAATTGGCTGCCTCCATTAGCCCATGAAAAGTTGGCTTTTCAAGGGATTTGCAGTCCCCCATTCCAGACATTAATATATTTGGTGTCATGGCGTACCTAGGGCCCCATTTGGTTTGCAGGGGTTTAAAATTCCATTTTCAACTGTTTGGTTGAAGGAATCGGAATTTTAATTCCATTCTTTCCATTTTTATTCTTGTCTGAACCAAATAAATCATGGAAATGGACCATTCCCATTCATTCCAAAGAATTTTATATTCGATTCCAATTGCAAATCAAACGGACCCTAAATTTTTATCCACTCGTGGTCGTGATCGGTCCAACATGAATTGAGAGGATTCAGTATTCATGTATGCAAGAGAAAAACCATTCCAAGAGAGAAAATCTGAGCCGGACTTACTTGTGGTCTGTTTTCTTATCGCATCCTCCTCTACAGAAACAAACTATTCCTTTTGAGCTCTGGTTACCTTCCCTCAAGCTCGCGTCGTATCCGCAGCGTCCACCTGCCTGTTTGCAGTCGTCGCACTCCCCAAATTTGGGCCATAGCAACTGGAACCCATCAGACAATACCTGGAAGAGCGTCTCAGGGTGACTAGATGATTTGTTGAGAAGTTTACTTCTTGATAGGTTGGCTCCTGATACAGGGAACCTCACTAAAGTGCAAGGTTTGGGGATGTCTATGGGATTGCTTTGACGAGTAAAATTATAGTCAAACGTCGTGGTATCGTTAAAGAGATAAAGCATGGAATTCTCTCCGCAACTATAACTCAAAACTTGTTGTTCAAGAAACGCCTCTGGCAGGCCATTGATCCCACTTTGGCACTTAAAGAAGTTGAGCATGGGGCCCCATCCTGGAAACTCAAGCGGCTTAACATCAGCGACTGTGAAGTTTTGAAACGATTCACAGCTGCCGGAACGGAGATCGTTGACTAGTTGCTGGTCGGCAACCGTAATTAGATTATCTGAAGGGAAAATGGCCTTAACTTGGTAAGATCTCTTGGATAGCAAAAGACCTGCGGCATCTGACGAGTCGCATGTGAAAATGTAAGGAGGAAGGCCACAATCAAGCCGACTGTTGCCGAACTGCTTTTGAGAGGAGAAAGGGAAGGTGAACGTAATGTTCCCGCACCTATGTCTGTATGGAGCGCAGGATTCGTAGTAGAAGGAATCGTTCTGAGATCGACTGAAAATGGGGTTGAGGAGGAGTACTATACTACAGAGAAGGGCGATGGAAGACGCCATGACCGATCGATAAAGCTATAGCCGCCAGGACCCAGGAAAGTAAGGACCAGGAGTTAACTGTTTATGTTTCATTATTCATTGTGGCTTGCGCAGCGCCACACGAGATCAAATCAGCCCCCCCAACGTCCCAACCACATCTCCGTCGTGTATGGGGAACAACATACAATTTCAATCAATCACAAGACTTTTGAAGGATTGACTTCAAAATGGAAAAAACAGGGAGAATGACTGTTCAGTTCAGGTCAGAACTTTGTAGCCACACAGATGCATCCTGACCGTGAATTGATGTCAAATTCACGGGCAGTATGCGATTTATAGGGGGGGCTGTCATTCAGAATTTCTAAGATTAGATTGAACAGTTAAAACCCCAAAAAACCTCTCTTTTAGTTGATGTTATACGATGGACCACCATGAAAAAATCAAAGGACTCATGATCTCTAATAGTAATTACCAATCGGGATCCGTGCGATGCACAGGTTTGTTAATCAAAATTGAATCAGAATGAGCTTAATTATATTCTCAATTGAGCTCAGTTCATATCAATTCAAAGTCTGTTGAAAAGATTTTGGAAATTATAAAAGTTATTGCTAATTATGGCAACTTTTGGTATATTTTGATTATTTACTAATAATTAATTATTATAATTATAAATAATTTGGGACAAATTTTGATAATCCCTGGTTAATTCTGGTGAAATCTGGTTAATCCTAGTAATTTTTTAATTCCCATTAAGTTTTTGATAATTTACAATTAACATGGGAGTACAATACACAGATTAGCAAGTTTTAATGCCCGTTTTGGGAGGGCTGAAGTGATACTTTTGAATTTCTGAGGTGGGCCCCAATTTACAACTTATAAGCTATATTGGTGAAAACTCCAAAGAACCTAAAACATTTATCCATCAAGTTGTCCATTAGGCCTGTTCATGGGCCCGGCCAGGCTTTCTATATGTGTCAACACAATACATTCAGGCCTGAGCCCAAGCCCGGCCCTCATATAAAGCCCGAGTCTGACAAAAAATTTGAAAACAGATTTTTTTGTATTATTTGAAAAAAAAAGAATAAAGAAAAAATATTGTATATATATATATATATATATATATTATTTAACATATAGTATCAAGTCAGGCTCAGGCTCGGGCCAAGCATTTTTGAGAAAACCCGAACCTGGCCCGAAAAAAATCGGATTTAGTGCTGTAGGCCTAAGCCTGAACCCGCAGGCCTAAAATTATAACCAAATCCAACTTATAACGGGCTAGCCCATCAAACTACCCAACCCATGAACATGTCTATTGTCCACATTAAACTTCTTTAAACAACTTATTGGGAGTGTTTCAAAGTAGCTGAATCTAATTAGCCCTCCTATATAGGCCCTATATTTTACTATGTTAGTTGGGTCAGGTCGAAGGTAATTCTAGATCGAAGTCTTAAAGGTGCAAACCTCAAATTCAAATTCAAGTGTACTAATTAATTAATTTATTTATAATAGTTTCTGTTACTAGTAATACTAGCGAGGGGCAAGGGCAAATAACACCAAATGGTTGAGAGTAAAAGAATGAAGAAAAAGAATACAAATGATTAAAAAATTAAATGAATTTCTTTTATTACAAAAATCATGTTCATGCACAACTCTTCCCACATGAGAGATTTGACGATGGTTCTATAATCAACTTGTACATAGCCTTGGCTTGAAATAAAGTACATGAGAGAAATTTCTTATTATATAAGGAGGTATTTGATTTACTAAATTGGACTGGTAAACAATTTGATTCCCATATTGCTATTAAGTTCAGGTCATGCCCAATTTCTTCAATAATACTACAATGGGAATACATGGATGCAATCTTTAATGGATTAAAGATAAGGAATACCAAAGCGATATAAAAATATCAAAAAATTTAAGTGATATAGAATGGATACATATCTCACAAGGACGGGAGTTACAGGACATCATACATCACTTACTCCTCAGCTTCTATCTTGGGTTGAACCATTTGATTGTAGGTGCTTTTATCCAAATTTTGAAGGAGTGTTCTCCACCATTAACCACATGCAATTTATTAATGGATTTCATCTTCTTGCAAACCATAGACAACTTATCTAGTGGGCAGAGCCCATCTTTGTTACCCAAGGTTCAAAGTATTGGGATACACTTTGCATATGCATGGAAACGGATGAAAAATTAAGATACGCATGAAAACACATGGAAATGCTATAAATACTCTAATAAGTCATAAATAAACATCAATATCATTAAATATAAGACTCAAATGAGCTATTTATACATAAATATCACGCGTTTTAATGGGTTTTATGAAAAAACATATCATAATCAACAAACGGGAATAAAAACATACCATCTAATAAAGCACTTCATTCAGTTCCAATCTTCCAAGTTCCAACTTCAAATTTTAAATCTATTATAATTTACAAATTTAACATTTAAATCTCAATATGATGTTTACAACTTTACATGAATCACATAAAAATTCAATTATTATATAAATTATCCAATTATAAGTGTTAATGTGTTAGTAAACTAATTTTTAATTGTTATTATGAAATTTTTAATTTTTTAAAATATTTTTTCAATTATTATCTAATACAAATATCCAATTAAAAAATAATAATTGTTTTCATATTTTGAGGCCAAAATTATATTCACATTCAAATTATAGATTATCATGTGAAATATATCAATGCCTTTTATTTTGTATTTTTTTTAAACATTTAAAAAAATTAAATAATTATTTTGCATGTTTCATTCTAAAAAATAAATAATTATTTATTTCTATTCAAATAATAATTTTTCATGTTTTATTCGAAAATTTAAATTAAAATTAAAAAAAGTAAATATGTAACAGAAAAATTGAATGGATTTATGGACATAATAGATGAAATACTTATTTTGCATGTTTCATTCTAAAAACTAAATAATTATTTATTTTTATTCAAAATGATTATTTTGCATGTTTTATTCTAAAAACTAAACTAAAATTTTAAAAAGTAAATGTGTAATAAAAAAATTGAATGGGTTTATGGACATAATAGATCATCCATATATTTACTATAAATATTTATTATTAGAATTTAAATCATTGCAAAAAATTAGAGAAATAAATAACTATTTATAATCTAAAAATAAAAAAATTAAAACAAATTAAAATTTTCACATGATATTTCAATATATTGATGTTAGTCTTAGCTCTATAGCATACTCAACCTATAGGGTTAGATCACATAAAATTGAAGAAATTATCTATATATTATATACTGTTCCAAAAATAAAAAAAAATATTTAGAAGAAATTTCAATTGATCTATGAACATGGTAGATCATCCATAGATCTACAACATATCAATTTGTAGAGGTAGATCACAAGAAAAACAAAAAAAAATTTCATTTCTTTTAGATTTTTTAATATTCTGGAATTTTTTCAAATATTCACAAAGATCTACATATAGGAGCAAAATATGTGAGATTTTTTGCATAAGAATAGCACATCAACAGATGTTTCTAAGCATCCAAACTAAACACACACACACAAAAAGCATTGGCTGAGATTGTAAAAGAAATTGAAAAAACATACATATTTTTGCTCATTTTTTAACAATCTTGAAAAACTTGTTGGATCTTTCAAATGTGTGGATGTTTTGGTGGATTTTGGCTAGATTTCAGATTCTAGGAATGGTATGAAGGTTTCTAGAGGGTTTGGGGAAGAAAGAGGGCTTTTGAAATGGATTTAGAAGCCCTCTTTCAAGTGAAGTTTTTTTTTTTTTTTTTGGTTTCTTGCAACAGTAAAATCGCATTGTATGGGCTGTTACGGTACAGTAGCGTATAGGTCGATACAACACCGAAATAGGTCGATACTCACCAAAACATTACCAATACGGACACGATACACTTTTGACATGACGAAAAGGAATAGTACTAAGGATTTGGTACCATTCCCCATGTCGAAACCTCAAAGATATGATACGTATCGACTAATACAAGTCAATACATAACGAAACTTTGAACCTTGTTGCTACCCTCCATCAAACAAATACTTGTGTAAGAAGTAGGCAGAGAAGATTATGAAAATCCACCACCAAAAAAGAAACATTACATATCAATTGGTTGTCAAGATGACACACACCCATACTAGTTGGGGTTCAATGTTGCTCGACTGAATGTTATGTTCATTATGAAACGCATGAGTATTGTTGATATCTGACATCTCTTCGTCTACCAAAGATGTATGATTGCCTCACAGAACTATTATAAGCTGGTTCTTGAAGAGAATGAATAAAGAACAAAACTTTCCCTCGAAAAATAGAGTTCGGATCTCCTGCACATTCATCCCTACAAATTTTCTTGTATATTAAATTAGAAGGTACCATGTCAGTACTCTTTCATGTGTGAATCTAACATGTGCGAGTGCTATTAACAGACGTTTCAAACCTCCTCCCATCGATCCATCCCATTTTTTAATATATATATATATATATATATATATATATATATATATATATATATATATTAAACATTATAGTAAATTTTAAATCAAATAAAAAACAGGGGTTAAGGGGGGATAAAGCTTTAGACTTCAGAGAACCAAACACTTGAGACGATGATGATCACATCTTTTGCTTGATTGTTAAATATCAACGAAACACCACATGGATCAACAATCAAATATTGAATTGATCTTCTCTATGATTTCAATAAGTAGATAAGCAATAAAAATTTGAAAATATAGGGCATCTATCACCGCTCATAGTTTTTTTGTTAACCATGCTCAACAACCAATGGTTTTCACAATAAAGAAGAATAACAACTCAAATAAGCTATAGATGATCCTCTTAATGACTTTTTTTGGACCCTTATCCCCTATTTTTCTTTTTGGTAGGATTATTCAATTAGTTGGAGAAAGATTTTATGAAAGAGGAGAAGAATAAACCCTTAACCCCTTTTTCTATTTGATTTAAAATTTAATGTAATTTTTAATATATAAAAAATGGAATGGGAGGGCGTTTGAACTTTGAAACATCTGTTAATGGAGTT